CTCAGCAGTTATGTTCTCTGGAAAAGGAAGTATATTTCCATTTCGTAAACAATCTCTAAGACGTTCTCTCATTCTATCATATTGATTATATCTTGGGTCTCTCCCCTTCAGCAACATCAGGGCACTTGAGGTGGCAAACATTGCACATAGATTAGTGCGTCCCTGTGACTGTGGTACTTCATACCGTACTTGGGAAATGTCAATAACTTCATAGAGAAGTCCATTTCTTAGACTGTCTTAGACATATAAGAATCCATTTTGCTGAGCTGACACTACAAAGTTTGCATGAAAGAAGTGAATCTGTACACAATCAATATCTTTTGGGACTTTTGGTCCTGGTAACTGTTGATTGGTGAGACTTAGTGTATAAAGACATGAGGGAATGTTTAGTCCATGAGAAGTAGTGAATTGAGCCTTCAGCAACTGTGACACATAGTACATTGTCTCAATGGTAACCATACCCTCCATGACATCATCAGGATTAAAGTTGTGGAATGACTCTTCATGTACACCAACATCCTGCCATGAAATAACAATCACTGGATATATTTCAGACAAGGAAACATCCACAGACCTCTCTACTTATGTCATCTCTGATTACAAAATGAATGTTAGGTAGGAAAGAGTATTTTATGGTCACAACTTTCAGTTACTTTCCTACGATTCACGGTTATAACTCTGTCTATGTCGAATAAGCAGGATTAAGCTTATTAAAGACAAATTGGGAGTACAAACCCTGTGGATTAAACTGATGAGATTCTGTATGTCTGCGCTCTCTTGTTCCTGATATACTTCAGTCTGTTCAGTGACTGTTGATTCTGCCTGTCTGTCACATCCCACAGGTAATGTAGCCTTTCTCGCTTTAGGACTTCTTGAAGTTACTCAGCTAAATGAAATATTTGATATACCGGTAGAGAAGACATTACATTACTGAAGGGAATCAAGCCAATCTCAAAAAGTTCCTATTTATACACCTACTTTATGAGGTAGACGTCTGTTGATTATCACCACTTCTGAAAAAGACCAAGTTTATTAGATCACAAATACACAACAATAAACAAATATATCAGTATTGTCAGAATGCGTTCTGACAATGACATAGGCAGGATTACAAGTTTAAGTTCTCAGAGATTCAATATCCATTCAAGCTTCATAATAAACCAATGCATGAAATACGCATTTAGTAAAATGACTAGCTCAGTAAAACTAATTTTCGCTTTTAAAATTGTTATAGTAGGTTCATAAAAATATGTGAAACTATTTTTTAAATTCTAAATAATGAGACAACATTCTCTACTACTGTGACGTGAAGGGAAATGTGAGTGAGTGAGCGTATTGAAACAATCAAACAAATCTTTACACAGATGCAAAGTACTATAATGTCAGATACATATAAGGATTAATATTCATGCATCTGTAAACTACGAGTCAAAAGTTCACATTCTGTTCAAATCACGACCCGTGAAGATCCGGAGTAGAATAGGTCTTCAGCAACCCATGCTTGCCGTAAAAGGCGACTAACGGGATCGGGTGGTCAGGCTCGCTGACTTGGTTGATGCATGTCATCGATTCCAATTACGTGGATCGATGCCCATGATATTAATCACTGGATTGTCTGGTCCAGACTCGATTATTTACAGACCGCCGTCAGATAGCTGGAATATTTCTGAGTGCAGCGTTAAACAACAAACAAAAACCAACCACCACCAAAGAAAAGTAATGTAAATATAAGTATAATCCACTTTGGTCGCATGTTGCAGTTCATGTTACCAGCACTCACCACGAGGAAGTAGGCTGCTCGAGTGCCAGCAATATCTCCATATACATACAGATCAAATTAACAGATAACCAATGACTAAAATCGGAAGCAAATATTTAGTATGTTGAAAGTCATAAAAATCATTTTATTTCACAGAACTATACAACTTGGTTAAATACATACAAATTCATTGTCATTTTACATGTTATCATTTTACATGTCATAATACTCAGTCGAACATGCAGTATTGTAATACCTTCTGTAAAACAGCCCTTTTGCCACTCTCAGACACCTTTATTGACTCAAACATTAAAACTGACAACTCCTTGATCAAATGATCGACAGAAAAATATTTCCCCATCAATCAAGTTAAATATAATTCATATAATTTTTTTTTAAATGTGAAAAAGAGCAAAATAGCAAGAGGGACTAGCTCAGTATCTAGATGATGCTTGTGCAAAGTTTTGTGGAGAACTATAACACAGTTTCTCAGTTCTGTTCTAGAAATGAACCCCATCCCAAATTGAACCTAAGTTGAATTTGCTTCCGCGGAGACTGAAAACAGAAAGAAATTTAAATCCTCAAATAGCAAAAGGCACCAGTTCAGTATGTAGTTTAAACCTATGAAAAGTAAAAAATTCGAAAAATTCCAAAATAGTAAAAGGCACAACTTCACCACTTAAGTGATATAAATGCAAAGTTTGATGAAGAAATATTGAACAGTTTATGATTTATTCTCCGGAAACGAACCCTCCCCTCACAGAACCTAAGTCGATCTTGTTGCCATGGAAACGTATAAAATAAAAGTTTCTTAAAAATTTAAATAGCAAAAGGCACAACTTCAGCATGTACCTGACAGATCTGCAAAGTTTCATGAAAACATATTGAACGGTTTGTGAGTTCTGCTCCGGAAACGATTCAAACAGACGGACGGACATGCCCATAGCTATATCCAATAACAATGGACAGACAGACAGAGATTTATTCAGTAATCAGGCCTCCAGCCAATAATACATGTTAACATAATGTAGATCATACATGCTTATATACTATGGCGTTATGTTAAGACAAATAGTTTTAGAATACGTTAGAACAGTGATGAGTTACGTATATTCATAACTTTAGATAGAAATAGTCCAATGTGTTTAAAAGTTCTTGTGGAGTTTGTTGACATGAGGTTTAAAAACTGTTGAAATGTGCTAAAGTTGTTTTCACTTTCAGCAAAGCATTCTCTTCTTGCAGTTCGGTATCTGTCACAGATTTCCAATACATGATACTCATCCTCAATTAGAGTTAAACCTTAAAGTTTGGAGTGGCAATAAATGATACTCATCCTCAATTAGAATTAAACGTTTGGAGTGGCAATACATCCACACACGCTCTACATATGGGATTTTAGAATGTCTTCCAGTTTGAACTGAAAGTTTAAAGTTGTTACACCTGAACATACATATTAATCTTTTATGATAAGCAGAGATTTCACATGATAATAAGTATTTTTCTGCATTAAGGAGAGATTTGTACTGTGAGTAATATTTGCATTTAGATGAGAGCTCTATGGAGAGATGCCAGTTTTGAGAAAGACAGTCATACAACCTCTGTTTAAATTTCATCATCAATAATTTGCTATCACCACATTCCTGATTTATCCAAATAAAACCAAATCCATGTTGAAACAGGATATACATGATGTGTGATGCCCATGTGGTTTTACCAGAGTCATCAAGTGACTTGAGCATAAAATAGGACTGATATGGTAATCTTTGAGGCTCCATATGGATCACTCTGCACCAGTAACTCACAGCTCTGGACATATACTGTCTATTGAAGCGGCACTCTCCCACATTCTCCTAGAGCCATGTTGTAATTACTATATTTATTAAGTTTCAAATATCTTTTGCAAAATCTGTGATGCACTTGCTCAATAGTGTTACAGTAGTTAATTCCCCATACTTCAGATCCATAGCATAAAATGGGAGTTATCATTGAGTCAAAAAGATTTAAAACTTCTCCAACAGGAATATATCCAAACTTTTGTTGAAATTGTTGAAGTGAGAATAAAGCTTTAGTGGCTTGAGCGGCTAGACATATCTGTGTTTTAGTCCATGAAAGTTTCGTTGTGAAGAGAGTTTCCAGATATTTATAACAACTCACTGTTTCTTTTTGTTCACCTTTAAAATACCATTTCTCACATTTTCTCAGTGGGCCACCATTCCTAAACACCATAAGTGTAGTCTTATTGAGATTTATCTTCACATTCCTGTTGAATTACAAAATTCTTCTAGTACATTAATTGTCTGTTGAAGTTGATTTGTTGAAAGCTCTTTATTAGGGAAAGATGAAAAATTATAAACTGTAGGATTAAGTAAGTTCTTAAAATAGTTATACCAGGTGCCGGTGGTGATGTTGTTAGATGAACTACCTTTTTGTCTCTGATTCTTCAATAGCTTCCAAAATTGCTTAGGGTCTGAACAGGAAGAAGATAATAAATCTCTTTGCTTACTCAGATATATGCTCTTTTTATGTGAAAATAACTTCTTAAATACCTTCTTTCCTTTCGATACACATTTAAATCTTGGTCAAAGTCCCTATGAAGTATGGGTTGCTGAAGACCTATTCTACCCCGGAATCATCACGGGTCAGGCTGACGTCGCATGGCCGGAGTACTGCTGTGCTGCGTCAGGCAATAAATACTTACTCTTTTAGGCAAATTGTATGAATGACGCGTGTTACTGGTAGGGAAGGACACTTACTTTTTTCGCGAGCACCTGGTGTCATCACTGAGTGTCAGTGGTCCATTCATATAATTTCCATTCATATAATTTCCACAGGACCCGTGAAGATTCCGGGGTAGAATAGGTCTTCAGCAACCCATACTTGCCGTAAAAGGCGACTATGCTTGTCGTAAAAGGCGACTAACGGGATCGGGTGGTCAGGCTCTCTGACTTGGTTGATACTGTCATCGATCTCAATTACGTGGATCGATGCTCATGATGTCAATCACTGGATTGTCTGGTCTAGGCTCGATTATTTTACAGACCGCCGTCATATAGCTGGAATATTGCTGAGTGCGGCGTTAAACAACAAACAAACAAACAAACAATTTCCACAGCTATTTGCCCTTTACGCCTAATGGAATCTGTTTCGGCAGAAAATCTAGGCTAGTTATTCTCTCGCACTGACAAGGCGTGGCATGGTACCTCATCCAAGTGTGAAGTTTTATTTATACTACATATTTCAGCGACTGAATTTAATGTCAGTCCAGGTTTGAGTGGAAACGAGAGCGAAGGCATCTTTCAACTGATCATAATTGCCGATATGAACTTGACATTGGACGTAACAACTGCTGGAACCGCAACAGCCGGTGCAGACTATGTACCATTGCCTAATGTTCTCAATGTAACTGATGGACAGCTGAATATTACGGTTTCAATAATCAATGACGATGTGAGTATCTGGATCTGTGTATATATACCCTGTAAACCTTGTATGCCGATTTAGAGTCTACTTATATTTACTGAAACCTTTCAGCTAAATTGTATGAAATAAATATTGCATGCCTTATATAAATAGCCTCAGTAAAGCTCTTAAAACGTTTTACGTTAGATATGCGGAGGACATTTCCAAATTTGGCGCATCAGTGACAAAAAAGATGTTCGAAGCAATCTATTTTAACTTGACACTTATAGTAAACTACGTTTATAACGAGGACGCTTATGACGAACTAGGGGGCACGGGTGGCCCAGTCGTCTAAGGCGCCGCAATTCGCTGTGCAGAGTTGCGTCCCTTGGGCACGCCAGAAACCTATGATTGTGGGTTCGAATCCCGGTTCGCCCCAATTATGTTTCTAGGTTTGTCAGCACCATGCCCGAGCTCATGGGTTTCACCGAAGTGGTAAACGTCTGAGACCTGCATCACTTCCCGTTTTTCTCCCACATTAAGCTGACAAGCCGTGATATAACTGGAATACTGTTAAAAGCGGCGTTAAACTCAACTCACTCACTCACTGACTATGACGAAACTTATCTTGTCGCTAGTTGCTGTAGTAATGCTGTATATAAATGCTTATAAGAATACGGTTATAATGAACTAAAATTAGTGGTCCCTTTGAGTTCGTTACAACCGTAGTTTACTGTATTTATTCATGCGACCATTTGACTAAAATTTGCATGTGTTTGTGATCGGTGCCACCGGTGGAGCAGTATACGCTGACCTATTCGGCAGCACCTGGTATCACCCCCATTTGGCAGTGATGCATACACACAGGCTTATCAGATAACCGGAATCGTACAATGGACTCTGCTTTCAGCATAGATTTCTTATGAATATGGAAAGGGTTTTGTCGATTGTATAAATACGTGCCAGGACGTGAAGCTGGCACTTTTTAAACTGAACACCAACATCTGGTCTATATGTTGCCTTTGGCTTATTAACTGTGTAATTTGAAGGAAAATGAGGAACCGGAGACCCTGATTATCACCCTGACGGACCAGGCCAAAGGAGTCGACGTAACCGTTGAGTTCACTATCGAAGATGATGATCGTAAGTGAATATACCTTTTGCAGTCCCAGCAAACTATTTTCATTGGAGGCTCCTAATCCATTCATGTTGCGATTTTCTAAACACCTACATGCAGTCCCCGTTACATGGATGACAATTATCAGATGAGGGGTTATGCCTCATATATTGTTTTAATCCAAAAATCAATAAATTAGGTCTATGAACATTTGTAAACAGAAATGTCAGTCTTAAGAAATAAATGAGTCATTTGCAAACACTAAAATATCGATCATCCTAATGTCAGCACCTCGGTAATAAGCCCAGAAGGACAAATGATAATGTCAGTGTCCAAACACATACTTTTATTTGTTGTCCCTATAATGGTATGGTCTATAATCTACGAAACATTTTAGACACATTCATTAATGATATGTAGGTTATATAATGCGTCTTTGTTTACGACACCAAGGGAGATTCCGTTTTAGAATAGAACCCAAACATCCTTGTTGTGAGATAAGACTTATTGAGTCGGATTCAACCCATGAAGATCCGGGTAAGAATAGGTATTCAGCAACCGATGCTTGTCGTATGAGGCGACTAACGGAGTCAGATTGTCACGCTCGCTGCCTTGGTTAACGCAGCATTCAGCAATATTCTAACTATGTGACGGCGGTCTGATATAATCGAGTCTGGACCAGACAATCCAGTGAATGACACCATGAGTATCGATCTACGCAATTTGGATACGATGACATGCTTCATCCAACTCAGCGAGCTTGACCACCCGATCCCGTTAGTCGCCTCTTACGAAAAGCATGGCTTGCGGAAGACCTATTCTAACCTGGATCTTCGCTCGTGGCGTGCTGTGTATAGATGTACCACAATGGTGTGGATTGGTTTCTATTCTGTCACTGGTGTACCCAGACCGGACTATAGACTGTATTGGTTGCACATTCACATTCAAAGACCGTGTGGCCAGATAAAGTCTTTTATGAAGTGGTTTATTCCCCCTGCAGTGTTTTATTATAAGTACGATAAACAATGACCAAAAGTCGTTTATTTCTTATATGAGATATCAACATTTTGTACAGCCTTTTTAAGGATGTCAATAAATTGTAAATGGTTTTGAAACATTTACCCGTATTGAAATAATAATGACTCCCTGAATACAATCCGCAATCGGCGATGTCGGACAAGTCCATTTTATATACAAGGGGTTTAAGTGTGGTATTCTCACAATTTTCACTACGATTATCTTCATTTGCTCCCAATAGCAATTGTCATTTCTCTCCCAATTTTGGGTGGGATCGTTCGGTCATTGCGCTGCACCCTTCATGTTTTTATTCCCTGTACCGCCTCTGTGGTCTAGTGGTAGAGCGTCTGCCCGGAGAGTGGAAGGTCCGGGGTTCGATCCCCGGCCGCGTCATACCAAACGACGTAAAAATATGGTACTTATTGTTACCCTGTCTGGCGCATGGCATTAAGGGGCTAAAACAAGGGCTGGTCGGGTCGGAGTCAGTATTCTGAGTGGGGTAATCATGTTAAACTGCGGCATGGTATCTCAGTGAGCTAGCACTATAAATCGGCATTTCTCCGGACTAGCACAAGAAGCCACACACACACACGTGCATGCACGTCGCTATATGAGTGCAATAATCTTGGACGCGACATTAAACCGAATTTCACCTGACCTCACCTCTTTCTCCCTGTAGTGTTGTACGATAAATAACTCCCACTCGTGGTTTATTTTGTTAAATAAAGCAGACTTTCCCAAAATCTTGTCAACCACGAATCTAATTTAATTCTTCCAACGCTGTATGTCAGGAAAATTGGATATAACAGATTGATTCTTCATCTACCTCGCATTTGAGTTGCATTCTCATTATCCTTATTACTTTCAGCTGTTACCTTCACCGCTTCGGATTCTGTCTTCGAGGAGGGCACACTAGCTATGATCAACCTCACCTGTGCATTTCCATCTGGGTCGAGTAGTTTGACTTTTAATGTTTCGGCTTCAGGCGGCACTGCTACAGCAGGTGTGGATTATATGTACTCACCGACGCAATACACTTGTACTTTGGTTTCCAGTATTGTGTCTGTTATAATACCACTGACTGATGACGCCGTGAGTATTATTATTCCACCTTTAAGATATTTCTTGAGCCTCATCTTATTTTTAAATATAAAATGTCAACGTCAGAGAATAATCAGTCTCGAGTATCCGCCTAAACAGATTCCATTCGGGGTAAAAGGCAAAATAGCAGTGAACATGATTTGCATGGATCTCAGTGACGACACCTGGCGCTCGCGGAAAAGGACCAGCATGTCCTGTCCCATCTCTAGTCAGGCGAGTCACGCTTGCATGTTTGGAAAGAGAAGCTTTGAGAATTGACATGATCCAGCTTTGGAAAAAGTGACATGATCAACACCAAGCTTTTTCGAAAGACCAAAATTATTTCTTTAGTTGGTTGGTTGGTTTGTTGTTTAACGCCGCACTCAGCAATATTCCAGCTATATGACGGCGGTCTGTAAATAATCTAGTCTGGACCAGACAATCCAGTGATTGACATCATGAGCATCGATCCACGCAATGTGGGATCGATGACATGCATCAACCAAGTCAGCGAGCCTGACCACCCGATCCCGTTGGTCGCCTTTTACGACAAGCATAGTGGCCTTTTACGGCAAGCATGGGTTGCTGAAGACCTATTCTACCCTGGAATCTTCAGAGGTCTATTTCTTAAGACAGAAGGTACTTAGGTGAGGACGGAGGCTCACGTAACAAATAAAGAATTATTTTAAATGTAATTTAAAATGAACACGAATTCTGTCACAGTCCATTCAATTATTCTCACCAAAAGCATTTTACTCTGGTTCCAGGAACGTACTTCTGACAAGACGTTTAGCCTCAGTGTGGACACAGGGTTTTCAGTAGCAGGAGACGTAGTTGTTCCCGTCACAATACTTGAAAACGGTAAGTGTACAAATTGTGGCTTACATTGTATGAGAGCAGTTGTTATGGAAGTGAGAGAGCAGTTGTTATGGAAGTAAGAGAGCAGTTCTTATGGAAGTGAGTGAGCAGTGGTTATGGAAGTGAGAGAGCAGTTGTTATGGAAGTGAGAAAATGGTACTCCTGATTCTATATTGGCACAGAATGATCGTTTACCAGGAGCGTTTACCAGGAGCATTAACTGTAAATTATGCACCAACCCCTTGGCATGTGTTGGCACCCGTCATTTGAAACCGCCAATGAAGTGACGGTTTACAATGGTGCCATGGCGACTTCTCGCTTAAAGCGCATTGTTTTTCTTTTGTAACGAGACAGCTTTTGTTACTTTACAGCTGACTGAATCACTGCATACATCAACCAAATCACCGGAACTGTCAACATACAGTAAACTACGGTTATAACGAACTCAAATGGACCTCTAATTTTAGTTCGTTTTAACCGTAGTTCGTTATGAGCATATATACAACATCTATATAGCAAATGACAGGAACAAAAAAAAGTTTGTAATATCCGTCAGTTCGTTATAAGCGTGTTCGTTATAAACGTAGTTACTGTAGATGGGGAAGGATAAGCAGCCTTAAATATTTATTTTGCACCGTGCAGGTTGGACAATATTCAATGTGCCTGTAGTAGACACATTTGCTGATTAAAAAACAGTGCTTTATGCTAAATACTCATAAGGCAATGCGAGGCAAGGGAGAGTCTTGCTATCCCATCGTTTCAGTGCACAGTTTTAGATTTAATTAATGAGATTAATTCATAAGTTTTTCCAATCTCATTTAAATCAGATTTTAGTTCTTGCTATCACTAAACAAAGATCTGAGGACATCCCATTACCGGTCATGTCAGAACGACCTTTCATCCGACCAATCAAAGCGTCGCTTACCAGATCATGAAAGTGACGGTGGGAATGTTGTCTAATCATGCAACCTCAAACGTAAACATGGGGTTTTCCGAATTACAGTTGCGGCCGTTCGACTGATTCCGTCAAAACTATCGTCCATCTCTCGCTTCCATGGAAGCACTGCCATACAATCTCAACCATATATAAGACGTTCCGGAATGTTCAGTTTTCAAAATTTTAATCGAGAACTGTGTCAACATATTTTTCAAGCGTAGTCTGAAATGGAAGTCGCCAGGTTGAAACGACTGTCGTAAAACTCGAGAAAGCTGCTTTCTAATTGACTGACGTCGACTTCTTGTTAGTCATTTCAGTGGTCGCAAAAGGTCGTTCTGACGTTACCCCTAATGGGATGTCCTCAGATCTTTGTTTAGCGGCAGCGAGAACTCAGATCTGATTTTATAGAGTTTTTCCCAATTCGTGTACCCCACATTTACATACATCTCCCTATTTAGATTGCTGATTCTCGAATTGCCGTCCAGTACATGCAGGCAGTCACTGCGGTGTTTCTAAAACATCATGTTGTTGTCACGAAACTTCGTCGTTTTCATGTGTGTAACAGGACCAATAAAAGCTTACAAACAAACTGTTTGAATGATGTAGTTCTGTTGAATAGTACAGGTGAGGTGAAGTGTGTCTGACTTGTATCAGTCCAGGCTAATGCCCGGTTTATAGTGCTAGCCCACTATGATAGAACCTTTAGAACCGACAAGTGCTTGTTCTGTCCCTTTAGTGCCGAGCGCCAGACAGGGTAACAACAAATATGATGCGGCGGGATGGGGAGACTTTCTATACACTGGACCATGGATGTGCTCTCCGTGCAATAGACCACGGAGAATAATGTAGTAGGATTTCACATGACGGGAACATTGTGTTCGCCTCCTCCTTTCATTAAAATAAAATAGTGTACAGACATTGTAACTCACCTGAATATGTGGTCAACAGTTTAAAGTGTCGATTATGCTTGTCGTAAGAGGCGACTAAGGGGATCTGGTTGTCATGCTCGCTGACTTGGTTGGTGCATGTCATCGTAAACCAATTGCGTCATTCACTGGATTGTCTGGTCCAGACTCGATTATTTACAAACCGGGGTCATATAACAGGAACATTGCTGAGTTCAACGTTAAACGACAAACAAACAAACAAACAAACCACTCCATAATCCCTAACTTTTTGTTCAGTATAGTATAGTGAGTGAGTGAGTTGGGTTAACGCCGCTCTTAACAGTATTCCAGTTATATCACAGCATGTCAGCTAAATGTGGAAGGAAAGCCCGAAATGATGCAAGTATCAGACGTTTACCACTTCAGTAAAACCCACGAGCACGGGTATGGTGCTTACAAACCTAGAAACCTAATCGGGGCGAGCCGGAATTTCTTACCACAATCATAGGTTTCTGGCGTACCCAAGGGACGCAACTCTGCACAGCGAATCGCGGCGCCCTAGACGACTGGGCCACCCGTGTCCCCTTCATTGTAGTATAACTGAAGCATCATCAAGTTTCCATGACAAGTAACATCTATTTAGTGTAAGTGATAAATGAACCGACTTTTAAATCTCACATTTCCGCTGTGGGTCACCTTCTGACGACCTTCTGTCAGGCTCAGTGTCTTGATTACATGTCATCGAACCCCGACGGTGTGGTACTTTGCTCGCAATATCTACCACTGGTTTGTCTTGCGAGAAAGACGTATCATAGATTACATATTAATATGTGGCGTGAAAGATCTAAGAAGACACAACTCAGGTTCTAGTCAGGACTATATACATGTATATTCACTGTGCAATATTCTACCTAGAACTCGCCAGACAAACCAGTGACTGACATTATGCGTCCAACGCTGTCGGGGTGCGATGATCAGCCTTGTCAATGAGCCTGACAACCCGACCTAAAGCAAGTACGGATACCCACGGCGGAAATTTAAGATTTAAAGATTTAAGATTTAAAATAAAAGCGACTAAAGAACTTTCTAAATTCATTTCGGTGCATTTGTTAAAACTAGATCGCCGGTGTCAATTTATTCATGTGGCGATGAGATTCTGTTGTAGAGACAATCCCCAAGCCATCCGGTACACCCCACCAAGCAGTGTGATAACCAGATGTTTTAAATCAATGGAGAAATCGTTGAAAGGATCAGCAGTCGCCTCGTGTTCGTAACTTACCTTTTTATGTCTAGGTCATAAAAACTGAGCTCTAACTTCCACCGTCTACATTCGTTTCTTTATTCGGATTAACCCCCCCCCCCCTATTTTATTTACAGTAAATGCCCTACGTACCGTATTTCCATTCTATAAAATTCGTGTTTACGATAGTCATTAATTCTCACCACACTTACCCAAACAGGCGTGATATCCCATATACAGAATTGTCATGTAGGTTGTACCGTACACAATTTATCTGATTTATCTGTAAACCCTATGTTGTTTGCCATTACCGTTATTACACAAGTAAATGTGTATCCCTTCTAACGACTTTATGCTCATTTACAGTACACATTCCAATATAACACACATTGCATGTATTCCCAGACATAGACTGAAACTGTATTGGGATATTATTATTATTATTATCATTATTGTATTTCATTATTATAAATGAATTAATTAATGTGAAATGAATGACAAGTCTAGGCACTGACTTGAATAAAACCAGGGACCTCATAGTTCTCTCCTCTTTGGCTTGAAGGCTAGCTCCCAATACCTTCTCTCTCTCATCCCTCAACCCAAAGGTGACTTTGCTTGTCGTAAGAGGTGATTAACGGGATCGGGTTGTCAGACTCGCTGACTCGGTTGATGCAAGTCATCGATCTCCAGTGCGAGGATCGATGCTCATGATATTAATCATGGGATTGTCTGGTCCAGACTCGACTGTTTACAGACCGCCGTCATATAGCTTGAATATTGCTGAGTGCGGCGTCAAACAACAAACCAACCGACCAACAAATCTTGTGACCTTAGCTGCGTTGACGTCTTTGGAATGCCAGAAACAGACTCAATACATTGACATTAGCAGTTCGTTGGTTAGAAAGACTGCCAACTTCCTTTATTTTGCCATTATATCTGTACATCCCACCAAGCTGTGTGATAACCAGATGGTTTAAATTTAATCAATGAAGAAATCAATGAAAGGCTCGGCAGTCACATCGTGTTCGTACCTTACATTGTATTAACCCCATGGTTAAATCTGGCTTTGTATACCGCTCCGTATGTCACTGTGATGACGTCGCGGTTATACATTGTATCAAAAGCATTATTCTTCACACAGTGTAACCATACTGTATAACACGCAAATCGCGTTTATTGTCTTTCCACCAGAAACTAAAGTCAACAAATCCAAAAGACTTATGCACTGTGTAGCCATGGTTAAACTGCTGGCACTTTTCTACTTTTCTACATTAATCATAATATGGAAGCACCCGACTGTAGCAAATAAAGTAATGTAAGCGCCCTTGTTTGAAATCTAAATATCCAAAATTCATATTATTAGAAAGTACATGTCCTTATGGGGATAAACATGACATTTATGTCGAAGTACACTTTCACTGAGAATATTCCGTGAGTTGTATTTACCGAAATCACGATGAAATTGTCAGGCGTTTTGACGTCAAAACAAAACTGACGGAAGTGGTCGTGATTGGTTCATACTCAGACTGTTTCAAAGATTATGTTACAAAACGATGGCATTTCGGATTATAGATCTTGATGAAAGCCAGATTTCGTCCATATAGGTTTCAGTGTTAGTGTTCTTTCATTAGTGATAAAAACAGCCATGTAACGGGTAACTGACATCGGTCATTTTCAAAGGATAAAAAGTAAAAAATGGCCAAATACACCAAACAAATATCAAATGGAGATTGCTCAAAATCGGACATCATTTTAATTTCAAAATGATAAATAAGATTATACTAACGTACTGCCACCAAGGAATAAGTACAAATAAATTGGGTCAATTTCGTTGAAACGTTTTCTTAGTAGCAAATCTATTCAACAAACCTATTTTCGATCACTCGTAACTCGGTCTCCTTGTGATTTAAGAATCGCTTCGTTTTGAAATCACCGGTAC